ACGCACAACGACGGTACTCACAACTGCATATGGTTGGGTCTTTTGCCAGGATAATTTCCGGAACGCTTGCGGATTTATTCGGTACGCCCCCCACGGCGATGATTACGAATCGCGACGTCTCCGGTGTCACACATTGTTCGCAAAAAACAGTTTTTTTGTATTAAGCAGTTTTCGCGTGTTCCATAAACGCATTTTTACGTTTAAAAAATGCGCCGTTGCACGATCGCGGTGGCGCGATTCGAGCAATGCATCAGGCAATTTCGTGCGAGTCAGAGTTAAGAGTGTTTATTGAATAGGTGCTTTGTGTTATACTAATGCTTTTTCCCGGCCCTCGACGGGTGCATCTTTCGCAAGTTGCCAGGGGCGTCTCTTGGGGCGCATGCAGTTGACGACGGTCGCCAGGTCACAGGCTCTAGAGACAAACTTGGAACATATATGATGTGATGTGGTGGGTGTGGGGGTGGCTTGGGTCGCCTTCATAAGTACCCTGCCTTTCTTTGATGAGTGCTGATAATGTTGGGCTCGCGACCCCCGCGAGTTTGAGGTCAGCATTGCGCGAGGATGCAACGGCAGATCGAACTCATCAGCTGACAGTATGGTTGAACACAGCAGGCGCATATTCTCAGAGTATGAGGGGGCGCCAGAGAGAGTGTGCAAGCGAGTTGGCGCCTCAACGCATTCCTCTGGACAGCCCCCGCCCGTAGGTTAATTATGATTTGCGTTTCTTGTCGGCAGGGCAGGGCTCGTGCCCCTTAGCCTCCTTGGCCATCAGGCCTCTGAGCGTGGCGAGACCGACGATGACTGCGTGCTGACGTTGCAGATTGGCGACCTGGTGGGGGAGCTGAAGGCCGACGGGTCTGACCAAGCGACCGCCCGCGCACCCCTCGGGCGCAGGGGTGGGGGGGTGGGCGGAGAGCGGGGTCCGTGAGAGTCTCGCTGGCACAGCAGGGGGAAGGCCGTTTTGGTGCTCGCTTGGGAGGCCGATGTCTTGTATTCCCGACCTGCGAAAATTCAATTACGAAGGCTGGCTCCGTGGCATGCCGATCCAAGAATAGAGCGATAAAAATATACAGTATACACACGTGTACAGACATACGCGTAGATGAACACACATTATTTTAACTATTCACATACGTGCATGTATCTTATATATATATATATATATATATATATATCATGTCGGAGTGTTGCGCCCCGCGGCCACTCGCCGGCACACAAATGGGGCCGCCCCCTTGGTGACCAGGTTTGGCCCCCCAGGACCTGTGGCCCGTTTTCTGCCTTCTCAGGGGACGCGTTCAGACCCTATGTGGGCGAAGACGGCCGTAGACGGCCACAAGCCAGGGCCAAGAGACCCAGAAGACATTCAACAGTTGCTTCAGACGGCACAAAGTTGCCCGAGATGGTTCCACGACGACCCAACAAGCCCCAAGAGGGTTCCAAGAGGCCCCCCAAGAGGGCCCCGAGAGGCCCAAATCATTGATGTGCCGTGTGGTCTTTGAAAGTTTGTAGCGTTCTCGCCTTTTCGGGTTTCCGGCGCCTCAGGACGGCCTAAGAAGGTTCCAAGTTGGCCCCAAAACTACCCAAGAGGCCCCCGAGATGGCGCCCATGCGGCCCCCTGATACGGCCCAAGAGGCCCCACGGCCCAAGGAGGCCCCAAGAAGGGGAACTCCAAGTGACATTTCACGCTCTCCGCCCCAAGATGAGTTTCCTCGTACGTTTCCGTGTTCACCGCTTTGAGGGTTTCCGAGAGCGCCTGGAGGGGGTCTCAAGATGGCCATGAGAGGCCCAAGGAGGCCCTCAAAGACGCCAAGAGGGCCCCGAGACAGTCCAAGAAAGCTCGAAGAAGCTCAAGATAGCTTCAAGTAGGCTCAAGAGGGTACCAAACCGCTACAACAGGGCACCAAGAGGACTCCCAAGAGGGCCCCAGGAGGCCTAGATCATCTTTTCTTTGGGTTGTTGACAGATTGTATCGTTCATTGTTTTGTTTGTCTGCCTTCCAGTGCGACGGCCAAATAGGTCCACAAGCCAGCACCAAGACAGTCCAAGAGGCTCCCTTGACGGTCTCAATGCGACCCGAGAGAGCGCCAAGACGGCCCAAGAGGCCACCAAGACAGCCCAAGAGGCCGTCAAGACGGCCCCAAGAGAGGGGGGGAAGAGCAGGGATCCGAACTGACATTCCGAGCCTTCCGCCCCGAAAGTTCCCAAGAGCCCCAGGAAGGTCCCCGTCCCCAAGGTGCCCCCAACAAGTTCCAAGAGGCCACCAGGAGACCCTCAAGAAGCCCTAAGAGGCGCCCAAGAGAACCCCCCAGAACCCCCAAAACCCCGAAAGCAGCCAAAAGAGACTCTCAGCATGTTTGCGCCAGGCAACATGACATCCCACCTTGGGCTACCCTGGGTCCTCCTCGTGGCTGCCTTGCGCGCCGTCCCGGAGCCTTCTTGGGCGCTTGCAGAACAAATCCTGGCGAAGGACCCAACAATACGCGGTTGTGAGTACCGCGTTGTGGGTACCCATTTCTGTGGAGCTTCCAATGGGGCCACGATCTTCGTAAGGGGAATGCCGAAATGGGGCGGCGCCAGCGTGCGAACGAAAAACCGCCTCCCCCCCGGTTCCTCGCTTCGTGCTGTTCTTGCCGATCCCTCCGATGTCTCCCCCATTCACTTCCTCGCTTCACGGGCCATCGGTGATTGCCGTGGGGCTTAGAGATCGGCGTCATTGAGGGCGTGCGGTCCAGAAGGGACCTTGCGGTTCTTTTCACTCTTCATGTCGCCTCGTCGTTCGTTCCCCCCTCCATGCTCGTGCCCTTGTCGCCGTCGTCCGAGTACTGTGGCTCGGCGCGGCAGGGATCCCCGGGCCGACGTCCGTGCAGTGAGCTCCAAGACGCCCTGAGGTTGGCCAAAGACGGCACAGCATGCTTCCAAGAAGGGCTCCAGAGGAGCCCAAGATGGGGACATTTACGGGTCCCCGGCGGCCCTCCTCCCCAAGATCGCCCCCGAAGCACCCGAAATACCCACAAGGGGTCCCCATACGGTTTTCAAATGCGATAGGAGCCCAGCCTACCAAAGGCTCCCGGACGCCCCCCCCCCGCGGCCCCCAAGAAAAGCCGCCAAGCAGGCATGAGGCAAATGCCTTGGACTCGAACTTAAGCGCGCTCGAAGCGCGCGTGGCTCTATAGTACATTCATGTATGTATGCGTGAGCCGTCCACTCCAGTTCTAAGCGGTCTCCAGACCAGGATGGTACAAGTCATGTTGCCAGTACCAGCGCTGAGCGAGGAAAGCGCCCCCCACCTCTTCCCGTTTCCGTCTGCTCCCCTTTGTTGCGCGATCTGTCTTTCTCTCTCTCTCTCTCTCTTTGTTGTTTCTCTCTTTCTCTCTCTCTCTCTCTCTTTCTCTCTTTCTTGACCTTTCTCTCTATCGTTATCTTTATCTTTCTATCCCTCTCCATCTCTTCCTCTCTGTCTCTCTCTCTCTCTCTCTTTCTCTCTCCCTCTCTCCCGATCTCTCTTTATCATCTTTCTCTCCCTCTCGCGTTACATGTGGTCGGCCTGAGTGGAATGACTAGCATCGGTCTTGGCCTTTCGGACCCCGCGGCGGGTGTCGTCGAGGCGCTGAAACGTGGCAAGTGGAGATCCCGTGCCCCATCCCGAATCGCATCCCTCGGCGGTCTTCCAAGGACACATGCCATGCATTTTGGCTGGCACCCAGCTTCAGCAGATGGACATACAGCAAGACAATGGCGGATCCAAGCGGCGGCTGGCTCTCGAGTGCGGTCGACCTAACTCCTGGCAGAGCATGGATCTTGCACAGACATTCGTCAGGAGGGGGAACAAGAATAGCAGACACAACAATGAATCGTCGATTCCTGAGAACATATGGGAAACTATGGGAAGTGGGGGGGAAGACGTCAATCCAAACAAATACGGAAAAATTGGGCATCCCGGGATTTGTGTGTATTTTTTGTGCGTGTCCCTGGGCCCCTTCAATTGGGTTATCCTGGACACCACTCCCCACATCCCGAGCCTCTGACTCTGCTTGCGTACAGGCGTGTGCCTCCCCACCTTCCGCCTCCCCCCCTCCTCTTCGCTTGCATCTCGCCCATGCCGCAGGGCTGCAATGGCTTGGGATTCTGGCTGGGACGCTGGAGGAGGCTTGCCAGGCCCTAGGCCCTAGGGCAAGGTTCAGGTCATGGAGTTCTTGGTTTGGTGGGTGGCTCCGCCCCGCGCGAGCAATTTTCAGATTCGCTCGGCCCCGGAGAGGGCGATCTCCCTGATGTGAAGGCTCGGGGGGGGGAGTCGGCCAGAGCCCCGTCGACGTGCAGTGGCGAGTCGGACTTCGGAGCCACTGACTTCGGCCAAAGTCATGGGCGGCTCAGTTCTACGCATTCCACATTCTTGCATAATTTTTGTCGGTCGCGTCCGCTAGCGAAAGCGCAGGCGGAGACAGAAGCTGTCCGGGGCACGGAAACAGTCCTAATTAGCTGCTAGGCGCGAAACGGGCTGGCCGCGCCAGCTCACAGGGCAACTGCTGAGCCGCTCGGTAAGGGCTGACATTCTTGCATAAGCAGAGCGTCAAATGAGTGCGTCCTGCAGCGCGCCGGATCCAAGCCGCTGAGCAACGCTCTGCTTCGCCGCCAGCTGCTCTTCCTGGGGCACGTTGCCCAGAAGCCAGGCGACGACCCCGTGAGGCTGACGGTTTCCCAGCCTTTCTCTCACGACTAGGCGCTTTCCATGTTCAAGAGGAGGAGGGGGCGACCAAGAAAGACTCGGTGTTCTGAGACTCATGCGCACGCTGTCCAGGCAGCGGAGGGTGAGGAGGCCCTTGCGCATCTGTGCATTCTTCAGTGCAGACCATCGCAGCTTAGCACGCGACCGTCACGCGGTATTGCGATGCCCTCTGAGGCTGATTTTCTTCGTGCTCATGTGCGTTGTTGTATTCAGCTTCTCTTTTTTTTTGTTTCTCTCTCTCTCTCTCTCTCTCCTACATCATTCCGCAACGCTCCGCAGCCGTTACGGCTCAAGGGAGGAGCCCTCTGCCCGAGATAGCCGCACCCGACCTCCCGACCTCCCGCGAAGGGCGGCTCGTCAGAGCTTCGGCTCATCGCAGGCACAGGAGCCCGCGTGGGCAGATCAAGCGCGAAACAAACCCGCGGTCGGGTCCCAGCTCCGAACATGCCGCAGAAAGTAAGATGGGTCTGGGGCTCTGGGCGGATTCTGGATTGTTCCCAACCATCCTGGTGTTGGGTCCTCGTTTTGAATCCGCAGCGCCGCGCTCCACTCCTCCTCCCGCTGCCACCACCGAAAGCCCCTGTGACAGGGTCCTCATGCGCCCCCCCGCCCATTTCGACACACCCTCACGAGGATCGTGGCCGCAAAGGGGGCTCCGCCGAAGGCCCCAGTAGCAGGGATTCGACGACGCCGCCTTCGCCATGGCACGCTCACCAGTACAGTGCCGTTTTTAATACATGCTCCGCGTGCGGATCATGTATTAAAAGTGCAGGGATCTAGTACAACAGAAACAACGATGAGTTCATGTCTAAATTTATTCATAAACAAACCATGTATTAAACATCCGATATTCTTAAACATCCCATGTATTAAGAACTGCCCTGTACGTCCTTCCTTTCGTCCCCATCCTTCTGTTCGCTTGCCCCGCAGCACTCGCAGCCTGCAGAGGGTGGGGCCCTTCGCCAGGACCCATTCCTTCGCAGCATCGCATTGCGGAGGGGGAGGCCCGGAGCCCCGACGCGTCGACGCGCCCGCTGCTTTCTCGCGGCGGTGGAGGTCGGGGATCACCGCTGCCGCGGCCTGGTAAGATCACCGCTGGGGTTTCCAAGGGGATAGGAGGCGAAGCGGGTGCCAGGGTGGTGATACCTGGCCCGATCTGCTCACAAGGTGCGTTGCAGGTGCCCTGAGCAGCGGAGGGGGTGTACATCCTGGCCGTGTGGGCCCCGCCCACTTTGCGGAGTCATCATGCAACCCCCCTAGGCCACTTCGGGCACTCGCAGCCCACCTGTGAGCCAGGTTGGGCCAGGTGTAATCCACCTCAGCATCCGCTTGTAACCCCTCTGGGAGGAGGAGGAGGAGGAGGAGGAGGAGGAGGAGGAGGAGGAGGAGGAGGAGGAGGAGGAGGAGTGGAGTGGAGTGGAGCAATCGGACGTAGTCCGTTCGGAACCCAGAGATGCCAGGGGGGCCATCCAGTATTTCTCGGAGGGCCGTGGGGGGCGACATCCCACGGCACACCGCGACAGGCCCCCCCCTGGCCTCACAATTTACTCAGAGGCACCGCTAGGAGCCGCGAGAGACGCAATCGCGGCTTCGGCTGCCGATTCATGCATAGAGGAGGAGGAGGAGGAGGAGGAGGAGGAGGAGGAGGAGGAGGAGGAGGAGGAGAGGAGGAGAGGAGGAGGAGGAGGAGGGAGGAGGGAGGAGTAGGAGGAGGAGGAGGAGGAGGAGGAGGAGAGGAGGAGGAGGAGGAGGAGGAGGAGGAGGGGAGGGAGGAGGAGGAGGAGGAGGGAGGAGGAGGAGGAGGAGGAGGGGGAGGAGGGAGGGAGGAGGAGGGAGGAGGAGGAGGGAGGAGGAGGAGGAGGAGGAGGAGGAGGAGGAGGAGAGGAGGAGGAGGAGGAGGAGGAGGGAGGAGGAGGAGGAGGAGGAGGAGGAGGAGAGAGGAGGAGGAGGAGGAGGAGGAGGAGGAGGAGGAGGAGGAGGAGGAGGAGGGAGGAGGAGGAGGAGGAGGAGGAGGAGAGGAGGAGGAGGAGGAGGAGGAGGAGGAGGAGGAGGAGGAGGAGGAGGGCGGAGGAGGAGGGAGGAGGGAGGAGGAGGGAGGAGGGAGGAGGGAGGAGGGAGGAGGAGGAGGGAGGAGGAGTATCGCTTGAGCAGCCCCCGCGGTCATCCCAGTGCGGCGGGGGCCGCCGCGGCGGGCAGCCAGCGCGATGCGGGGGCGGCAGGCGGGGCCCAGGGGCCGCGGCGCGGCCCTGCTGCCGCTGTGCGGCGCTGCCGCGGCCGTGCTGCTGTTCCTCGCGCAGGGGCCCTCGCAGGGGCTCAAACGACTATGGGCCCGCATCCCTCTGTCCTGCTGGCACAGCCTCTGCGGAGTGGACACGCCGCGCGCACTGCGTCCAAATGAAATGTATCGATTAAATCGTGGGATGTCGAATTAATCGTTCAGTGCGTGAAACCTGGAGGGTGCGCCCGTCTAGGGGAACGAAGAATGGCATAGAAGTGAACGCCACGTCGTCCGGATGACCAAGGAGCCTATGTGGTCGGCGTTGGCCGCTCTCGTCCTGTTGCAGGCCCCGGGGCCCTCATAGATCGGTCGGGCTCGACGCCGCAGGATGGGGTGTGGGGCGCTGGCAGTTGTTTCCGTTTTTACCATGTTGCAGTTTTTCGCGTCGTCGGATCTCAGGGAGGAGTCACCGAGTTCGGCGAGGGAGTTTTGGGGTGCGGGCGCTCCACCATCCCACAGGTTTGGCAGCTGGGGCGTCTCTACGCCGAGCTCCTTGTCCGACCAGTCGGAGTGGTATGTACATGATCCAGTGCTCCGCCCCGACCCCCATGCCGATGCTCTCGCCCCGCCCGCCCCGCGCGATGGGGGGTTCCGTTCCCCCCCTGTTGGCGCGGGGTGGTGGGGGGTGCCGGTGCCCCTGCCTCCCCACGCGCGTGTGGGGTGGTGCTTCGATGCCGTCGTCGTCGTCGTCGTCGTCGTCGTCGTCGTCGTCGTCGTCGTCGTCGTCGTCGTCGTCGTCGTCCCCCCTCCCATCTGGGAGCGGGGGGGCGTGGAGCCCTGGGGCCCATCCAGTCCTGGGGGGCGGGGCCGTGAACCCTCGACCCGGGAGCATCCCTCGAACCTTTCCCAGCCTCGACTTACGATGTTCCAGCCTGCTTTGGCGTTGGTCACCAGGAAGAATTTCGAGCACCAGAAAAGTACCCAAGAACTCGAGGGTTTTCATGTGTCGGGCCCTGGGCGACATTCGCCCGACACTGTTTCGACACTGTTTCGACTTTCTTTTGACACTTTTTATGGGTGCTCGAAATTATTTCTGGGATGCGGTCCTTAAGTAGGACGGGAACAACATAAGCCTCGACCCGGGATCATACATCATGTCTCGGTCGTGCCGTACATCACCGGCCTCATCCCCTTGCCTTTTCGCCTGGGCCCCCATGTGTGGCGGCATATGCGCTTTCTGGCGCCGGCCGTGGTGGCGTGTTGTCCGCTCCCGTCCTCTCGACTAGACGTAAAAGTGAGTGACCTTTCGCCAGAGTGACCTTTGGTGCGGGCACAGATGGGTCCCCAGATGGTTGAAAACGAGGCAGTAGCAGCTGCTTGCGCGCCCAGGTTTGGTCCCCCCGCGGCCCCACAAAAGTCGCGCACCAAAGGTCACTCTTACCCAGGGTCACTCTTGCGAGCAGTCGCTCTTCTCCCTCCCCTCAGAATACGTCGAGCTCCTCCCAGGCCCATGGGCTGGGTCGGCTGCTCCCAGCAGCACCCTGGCCGGCGCGGGGGCGGCGGCCGCTGCGGCCCGGTGGCCCGGGGCGCGGTGGAGGCCCGTCGGGGTCTGTCCCGGCGTCGGGCGCGGTCGCCGGGAGGTGGCAGTGGGCCAGGGCGGCCCCCGGTGATGGGCCAATTGTCCACCACCGCCACCACCACAGGGAGGACAGGGAAGAAGGGAGGATGGGGAGGTCCTCCTCTTCCTCCTCCTCCTCCTCTTCCTCCTCCTCCTCCTCGTCCTCCTCCTCCTCCTCCTCCTCCATCTCCATTTCCCGCCCCTCGCTCTCTCTCCGTCTCTTCTTCTGCTCGTCCCTGCTCGTCCTACTCCTCCTCCTCCTCCTCCTCCTCCTCCTCATCCTCTTCCTCCTGCCTACGGTAATGGTGGTGGGAAATCGGCCCATCACCCGGCCTGTCCAGCGGAGGCAGATTTTATGGCAGCCGCCCCCGCTCGCACTCTGGTGCCGGACCAGTCTGTTTGTATGGCGCGGTGTACAAAGTTCATGCTTCCGAGGGATGCCAGATTTGTACACAGCCCTCGCTTCCCCGACCCCCTCGAGTCATGAAAAAATCACAACGGAAGGTTTCTCACTAATATCGGCCGCTGGGGGCCCTTACAGGGCCCCAGGAGCGACAAAAAACGACTCGGGATGAGAAACCGGTCCCGGGGGAGGGGTCCAGACGTTTGGGGGTCTACGTTGTGAAAAAATCACGATGTGCTTGTGCCGCACCAGCTTGTTCGTTAGGATGGTGTGCAAAAGCCGTGTCCCCATCCACGGAGGCCCAGCAACAGAAGCGAGCTCCCCAGAGATCCGCGGCTCCGAACAGCCTGGAGCGGCCGGCTTTTGGGGCTGATTTCGGCCTCCACTTGGACGGCGGCGAAGACTGTAAGGGGGCAGGGAGACTATAAGGGGATGCCAAGGTGGCGATTCATCCGGCCCAAACCTGGCTCATAGGCAGGTTACAGATGCCCCAAGATGCTTAGGGGGGGTAAGTCAACCGCTAGGTTGGCGGAGCCCACCTAGTCCGGATCGCTAACCTCCCGAAGCCACTCGGGGCCACTTGCAATTCATATATGAGCCAGGCTCGGCCAGATATCACAAATTTGGGCGTCCGCTTGTTACCCTCCTGCCCCCTTAGCAACCCCGGTGGTCATCCCAGCAGGAGTCACCGCCGGTCCCCCAGCACAGTAGAAAAAATATTCCAGATTTCGTAATAGAGGGAGGGGGGTTCTCATTTCGGGGGGGGTCTCTTCCAGGCTATCTTGGAGGGCCTGTGGGGGTCTGGGGACGATGTTTTGGAGGGTTCTCCCACGGGGGGGGGGGTCTGAAATGGCTTGTCTTGGAGGATCCAGACCCCCTCCCTTTTATTACGAAATCTGGAGTGCCAATGACCAGCCCTACGGTAATTAGCTGTGCAGATCTCAGGGGCCCGCGCGTGGAGAACACGGAGCGCAGGATGTCGTGCGGTCGACTGCGCGGACCATCGCGCGCAGGGTTGCACGCGTGAGGTCGCGCAAGCAAGCGCTCTCGCTCCCCGGGCCGCGCGGGCGGCCCGCCGAGTTGCGGAGAGAGGTCGCTACACCTTAGGCGATGCTTAAGAAAACTTCAGTTTTCGGCCAGAGTCTCGATTATTCTTAACGTTTCAATGTAAATCCCAAGATTTTAGTAGAAATTCTGGGTTTCTATTCAAATTCTGAGACTCTGAATTTCTTAACCCATTATTTTTTTAAGCATTTCGCATGGTGTATGCCATTTCGCTGGGGCACTTTGTCTGATCGTCGCTCAGCTCAGATGGCCTCCAGAGCAGCCTTCGCGAAGCCCGAAGGTCCCCAGGGGGCTCCAGATAGGCGCGGGGAGCTGGGCGCATCTTGGGCCAGGATCAGCTCCGGCAGCCTCCGCCGGCGCACCCAGCCATCCAGTCGTGGATCCCCTTCCTCTTGCGAGGTGGAAGAGGGGGAGCGCGGAGGGGGGGGTTGGACCGGTGGGCGGCGATCGTCCCGCGGAGGTGCACGAGATCCGGTCGAGGATCAAAGAGGACCAGGGCAAGTCCTGGATAGAGCTGAACATTGGGCAGATGGGCCACACCGCCAACATCACGTGGGCGCGGTGGAAGGAGGGGGAGGAGGAGGAGGAGGAGGAGAGGGAGGAGGAGGAGGAGGAGGAGGAGGAGGAGGAGGACACGACGATGAGGAGGAGGAGGACGAGGAGGAAGAGGAGGAGGCATCTGGAAGGAGCACGGCGCGACCGACTCGTGGATGTCAGTCAACGTCGGCGGCGCCTCGGCGAAGTACACTCACCGCGTCGCCGGGGGCGAGGACTGGGACACCACGGCCTACACGTGGGACGTGAACAAGCGGACCATCTCCGAGGAGGGAATTAATCCACACCCATCGGTCGTTGAAAGTAGGTATTTTTGGAATCCCAGATTCCAGATTCCGATCTACTTTCAGCGCCTTCCTACTTCAATGATCGAGTTGCTTCCCCTCATCCCTCCTCTTTCGGGGGCGGGCGGACACCCGATCTACTCTCAACGCCTTCCTACTTCATGCTTCTGCCTACTTCTTCCGACCGATGGGTAGCCACCGCCTAGGGATTCGGTCTTCGGGGACTTCGGCGGGCGGTGCATGGACATCTTGGGCCCCCCCCTGGGGCCAAGCTATATCCATACCCCCTCCCCCCTGAGGTCCTGGGACGTCGGTCCGCCAGGTGATGAGCAGCGGAAGAACACGGGTGCGACTGCGCCGACATTTGGTGCGCACAAGCTGCCCGCGTGAAGTCGCGCAGCAGCGCCCTCGTCTCTCCAACGTAGCGTGCCGCGCTGGCGGCACGGGGAAGCCGCCGCAGAAGGTCGTTGTGGCATCGCGCGAATGACCCGTTCCTTTCCATCGCTCCGGTGGCGGAGGCGTCGCCAACGACCCCCAGTCGCGAAGGAGGGGAGGAGGAGGAGAAGGGGGAGGAGGAGGAGGAGGAGGAGGAGGAGGAGGAGGAGGAGGAGGAGGAGGAGGAGGAGGAGGAGGAGGAGGAGGAGGAGGAGGAGGAGGAGGAGAAGAACAATTCCCGCCTCGCACCATCGCCAAAGAGATCCTGGTCAGCGGCAGGCTCCAGACCGAAGAAAAGGCCGTCCGGGCGGGGCCGGGGCAAGGCGGAACCCCTTCCCTGAGCTTCCAGGGGAGAAGAAACAGGAGGATGAGGCGGAGGAGGAGGAGGAGGAGGAGGAGGAGGAGGAGGAGGAGGAGGAGGAGGCGCAGAAGGAGGAAGCCAAGGATGAAGTGGGGGAGGCGGAGGCGGAGGAGGATAAAGAGTCAGAGACTATGGTGGAGTAGGACAAGGCTGAACCCCTTCCTGACCTTCCAGGAGGGCTAAAAAATAGCACGCGACTTAAAGACCTATCCCAGAGCTATGAGATGTCTTGGTTTTAGGCTGTTTCGTATCGTTTTTTAGGTTTTAGGCCTCCCGTGCTAAAAAATAGCTCTCTGGAAGGTCAGGGCCCTTCCTGAGCTTTCCGGAACGCGACCAGAGCGTGCCAGACCGCTCTGGGAAGGCCGCGGCGCCCGATGGAGCCGCCGGATCCCAGAGATTCTCGATGCACCCTCCTCCGCACTTTGTGGGCCCCGGAAACGGCAGGGCCATTTTTTCACCGTTTCCAATAAATGTCCCTTTGAAATGGAAACGTCAAAAAAAAACGACCGGAAACGGCAAAAAAACGGCTCCAGGATTGGAACTGGAGCCGGCACCGGTAACAAAGACGGCGACGGAACCGGCAACAAAAACGGCAGAACGGAAGCGGTAACAAAAAAACGGCCCTGCCGCTTCCAGGGCCCACTGAAAGCCTCCGCAGTCCTCCTCGTCCCCGCCTCGTCTCAGGCCAGGCCGAACGGCCAGATCACGACCTCCTGGAGCGCCGCGCTCGCGCCCATCGGCGTCGCGGCCGCGGACCTGCCGGCTGCGCTGGAGCCGGTCCTCGGGCGCCACAGCCCGGAGCACTGGCAGGCCTTCAAGGCGCTGTGGGCCCACTACGTCTGAGGCGAGCGGTGTGCCGGCGGCGTGCCCGCCAAGCAGTGGCGGAGCGTCCTGGCTCGCCTAGAGAGCCCTACCAAGCAATGTCCTGAGAACCTTTTGTGGTTTCCACGACATGTTCTTAGAACGTTTCGCGGTGAGACTATCGGGATGCCGGGACGGTCGGTCCCTGCTCAAGCCCGGGCTCTCGAAGAGAAGAGCTGCTGCATGCACGCGAGCTCTCGGAGGTTTGCGCGGGTTTCTTTAAGGGAACGAGCAATGACATGAACATGGTAACTCGGAGGTCCGCCTGGATTTCTCGGATCGGCGCTGGGGCCCCCTGGGTGCGCCTCCGGCGCCGCCCCTGGCGCGTTCCGCGCGCCAGGGAGGGGGGTCCTGCGCGGATCCAAGAAATCCGCGCAGACCTTTTGTTTGATGTTTATGTATGTTTTCGCTCCCCCATTGTTCTCATTGGGAATGTTGAGACTCGAGTGCGCCGTTTCTCCGGTTTGCCGACGCTCTTTGACGAGCGCGTCCTGGACTCCGTCCTGGACTTTGACCGTCCAGAGTTCGTGGGGTGTCTGCAGCGGGAGCTCGCGCCAAATCTCAGATGGGGTCTCGCCATTTCCATGATGGCCCCGTCAGGCCAACCCGAGTCCCCCGAACCCGAGTCTTACGTTCCACGGCCTGTTTCCACCACCTCCACCAGAAGTTGGAGGGGGGAAGGAGGCGGAGGACGAGGAGGAGGAGGACGAGGAGGAGAAGGAGAATAATGAGGATGAGGAGAAGGAGGACGAGGAGGAGAAGGAGAGGGAGGAGGATGTGGAGGAGGAGGACGAGGAAGAACCCCCCTCCCCCTCCAGCTTTTGGTGGTGGTGGTGGTGGAAAACAGGCCCATCATACGTCTCCCCAGTTCTGCCTCGTTGCTCGGCCTCTGGGGCCAGTTGTCGGGCCCTCTTGGCCATCGCGCGGGTGCTGAGGGGACAGAACCCACATCTCCGACGGCTTGTTCAACCCATGTTGTGGTCTTCATCGGAGCGAAACGCTAGCCTTGGGGAAGGGGTCGGAACTTCTGGGGTGGCGCAGTGGAACAATCAGATCGGCGGATGTAAGTGCCGCCTCTCGTGGCCATCAGCCACGGACCCGGGTTAAAAAGACTCCCCCTCATCGGGCAGCGATGGGCTCGACGATGACGGGCGTTGCTCCGGCACGCTGCACGAAGCCAGTGAGTAGAGGCAGACAAGACCTGGCCGGCCTGTTTTCCACAACCACCACCATACATTGGAGGGGGGAAGGGGGAGGAGGACGAGGAGGAGGAGGACGGAGAGGAGGAGGAGGAGGAGGAGGAGGAGGAGGAGGAGGTGGTGGAGGAGGAGGAGGACCCCCTCCCCCTCCAACTTAAGGTGGTGGTGGTGGAAAACAAGCCCATCAAGACCAACGTAAACATACCCTTTGGGAGCTCCGCGCGGAGTCCTTGGATTTGTGCCGGGCTCCACCTGGCAGCACCTCCCGCGCCGCCCCCTGGCGAGATCCACGCCGCCAGGAGAGGCAGTGCGGCGGCGCCGATCCGAGAACTCTGAGCGGACCCTGAACGGCAGCGTGTATGTCGGAGGTGGACAGACCTCCTGCCCTGACACGTCGATTGAGGAATTGGCCGCTTTCGGTTCGCGCGAGGGCGTCGCGGCCGTCCTTTTTGCGGGTCCAGGTCCGTCGGTTTCGGTCCCAGGCCGTTTTCACGAAGGGGAGGTCTAATAAAAAGAGGTTTGTCCACCGCCGAGTATGCAGTGTTCTCCTCTTCCAGCGCGCTGGGCCGGCGACTCGGCCAGGGTCTCCGGGGTCGGGCCCGCCTCTGCCACCATCCTTCGCGCCGCTCCTCTTGAGTTGCAGGGGTGCGCCTGAGCGTTTATGTTCCAGGGCAGCTCGACCGAGTTCCTCACCCATGCCCTGCTCGTCCTGGCGCTTATAGGAGCAGCCAGGGAGCACCATCGTGGCTCGCGTGATCGGTGGCGCAAATGGCCCGTCAACAAAAGGGACGCCCGCCTCGCTCTTGCCGAGTCTTGGGGCCCGTCCCGGCCCCCCCCGCTGCAGGTTCCGGGCGAAGAATGCAGGGACAGGCGCGGCACTGCTCGGGGCCGCCAGGCGGTGATAACATCAGGGGGGCTCGGCCGCACACTTAGGGGTCCCGAGCCGCCAGGCTGGAGGTCGACCCATCGAGTTGGATGTTTTCGGGGGGCCTGCGGGTCGGACTTCTCTCAGGCGGCAGGAGACGCCAGGTCCGTGCGCACCTCGGGGCAGGACGGAGAGGAAGAGGAGGAGGAGGAGGAGGAGGAGGAGGAGGAGGAGGTGAAAGAGGAGTTGGAGGTGAAGGTGGAAGAGGAGGAGGAGGAGGAGGAGGAGGAGGAGAAGAAGGAGGAGAAGGAGGTGGTGGAGGTGGAGGAGGCGAAGGCAGGGCCAGGAGGGGGAGGAGGAGGAGGAGGAGGAGGAGGAGGAGGAGGAGGAGGAGGAGGAGGAGGATGAGGAGGAGGAGGAGGAGGAGGACGAGAGGGAGGAGGAGGTGGAGAGGGAGTAATGGCAGCAGGCATCACAGGAGGCTGCGCCAGAGCATGTGCCTAATATTGCTTCTCCCTGGCGCATCGTCTTGCGTCTTCGGGGGGCGGGGACGCTTTGCCTTCACCGAAGGCCCCCCCTCCATGCGTGCTTCTTCCCCCTTGCGGGAGGAGAAGGAAGGGGGAATCGGAGCAGGGACGGCAGGATGAGCAGCAGCATGAAGGGGGAGGAACATCGCGTGGGTGGCAAGTGACGCCATAAAATGGGAAGTTGAAGAGGTGTGGAGGTACGTTGGGCCCTCCTCTAGTGACGTCTTCGTTGGCTGGGGGTCCCCAGAGGAGTCCTCAGCCCCCTACAGTGGTATTTGATGCCATCATGATAGGTGGGAGTGGGAACCCGGGGGAATGATCATGATACAGATGCGGAAGACGAGGATGAGGAGAGAAGAAGGCCTGTCAGGCACAGGTCCGCGCGCCTTCTGGAGGTTTTCGGGTCACTCCTCGGCTATACGGCGGCCGTTCGGGACGATCCAGGCACCCCTGGATCGATCTCCGCGAGGCAGAGCAACGTACCCCGAGGCTGGAGAACCAACGAAAAAGTCCGAACACGTCGGAAGACCCCGAACTTCGAACCTTTAAATCTCGTCCCTCCTCCGACCCCCCCCCTCCTTCAAAGCCTCCCCCAAGCTCTGCTTAAGAAACGGGAAGCACGACTCTCCTCCCCCTTGATCCCCCCCAGGCATCCGATGCCGTTTTTCGATGCGGGGTCCTCTGGAAGCCCCGAACCTTTCTCTAGGGCCCGCTTTTCAGCCCGAGTTTGTTTCGGCGGTCCTAGGGCCTGGCGGGGGGGGCCCAGAGGCCGAAAGCAGCCAGACATTGGTCGTCGTGAGTTTTGCCACGGAGTGAGGCATTTGTTAGCCCGCGTGGGCCCCACCCAATGATCTCTTGCAACCTATGCGGCGCAGTCTGGGTGGTTCACTTCACAAATGCTCGTGCGCTCATCCCACCCACCCGCCCGCAACTTGGTTTGCAACACCCATGCGACGGCGATTGCGATGAGTGCTTGGCATTGGCGTGCGCATCTTCGCGGCCTCGCCTGCCCGCGCACGCTCGCTCGCGCAGCGGCCAGCTAGTGCGGCGCGACCGACGCGGCCGCGGTGGCGCTGACCGCTGGGCACTTCCCAGCGGGCACTCCGCTGCGAGTCGGTGGCTCGGGGCGGCGCGGTATCATGGCGACTCCGACAACGGTAGACACGATGATGAGAGTAGCGAGTAGCGATGATGGTGACGATGGTGGCGGTGGCGACGGCAAGGCCAGTGACGGCGCCGATGTTGATCACGCCCGACGGTCGCGATGACGGTGTCTTCGCGTCGGTGATGAAGGTTTTGGAAGGAGTTCGACATGCGCGCGCGGCCGACGCGCGCGAGTGGCCCGCTTGGTATTATTTGACACGGGCCGTGCCCCCACGGCACGCGAGCAAGGGCCTTCGGGTGACTTCAACATGGCGCGAGAGGCCCGCTTGGCAGAATGTGATGGCAATGTTGAAAAGCCGATGGTTCCCTCGAAGATTCGCAATAGCGCGCGCGCAGGCAGTTTTCACAATTGGCGTTGCAGAACCAAGTGTTGTTTTAAATGTTTGCGGGGCATTCTTTTTAGAGATCTCTACAGCCCCTCAGGTTTTGGAGCGGTGTCGGCATGCGCGCGCGACGACGCGCGCGTGTGCACTTCGACCCATATGCTGCAAAGGGTTCTTGCCCATGCATGCGCGCAGAGGGCGTTCGACCAAAATCTACATGCGCGCGCGAGGGGCCCTTTCGGTAGCATGTCATGAAAAACGTTGAAGAAACTTGGAGTTTGCTTTAAAACGCGCAGAGGTGCGAACGCTGTTTTTTGTGGGTAAATCATAGCTGCGAAGCCAAATGTTTTATATGTTTTCGTGACACTCGATTTTGAAATCCTTACGCAACCCAGGGTTCTCAATACAACGACGCGCACGCGACGACGCGCACGCGACGACGCGCACGTGATTTCGGCATGCGCACGCGACGACGCGCACGTGTGCAGTTCGATAACGCATGTTTTGTTATGGCCGAGTGCGCGCGCATAGTATGTATTGTCTTTGTTGCAGAGGAGAACTGGTGGTACGCCCGAACACCGTGAGAAACCTGGAACTTCGAAACTCAAAACTTCGTCCCCCCTCTCAGCCCCACCTCTTCCCTGACCCTGGATCCCCCCAGCTTGCGCCTTTTTCTCCCACCTCAAAAACCGTTCCGGAGATGGACCTCCAAACGGTGCGACAAAAACGGGGGGGACATGACGGCAAAGGTGTGGCGGAAGCAGCGACTGCAAAGCAGGGAGGACATCGGGGCCGGAGAAGCTAGAGCAAGCAGGGCCGGGATTCCCTCCGCCGTGCCTGCGACGCCGCCCAAGAGACGGCGGGTCCGAAGTCGGGGCCTCTTTCCCCTTCCCCCAGACATGCGGTGCCCTGATTTGTTCCGTGCAGTGGATCGAAGAAGCACCCTGCTTGCCTCCAGGTGCCCTGGGTTCCTTGGGTGTCGATGGTTTTGCGAAGGAAGGCGTGACGTTCCCACACCAAAAGTCAATGGACCTCCTGGGGTCTCAGGTCTCAGGGTCGGGTGGGGTTTCTCGTGGAAGGTTTCTTGTGGTCGGGCCTCCACCGCACGCGGTCCCCAGAAGTCCCGACCCCTTCCCTGGGACCGGCTTTGCATCATCGCTCGGTTTTTGACGGCCTCGGGACCCCACAGGCCCGAAACGACTGAAAACCTTCGTCCTGATTTGCGACGCGAGCCCGTCTGGGCCCACCTCCCCGACCGGCAGGACGTGCTCCCCAAGCTCACGGCCCAGAACAGGGTCATCGCGCGGCACGGGGCCGACATCGACAGCCTCTTCGGGCGCATGGAGGCCCCCCTCGGCCCACACCCAGGGGGGGGGCGCCTCGCGTTCTCCCCGCCCGCCGCCTCGTCGTCCTCCCCAACTCCCCTCCTCCCCACCCCGTCCTCATCCGTCCTCCCTATCGTCTTCCTCCTCTGTGTCCTCCCTCCCTCTCCCCATCCTCACTCCTCCTCTCGCGGGGTGGCCGGGGGCCACCACGGTGGCTAGGCTTCTCCTCCTGGGGCCCGTGCTGCGAGCCAGGGACGACAGGTCGCCCTCGTGCATCAGGAGCGCGGTCGATGACATGGCGCTGCAGGCGCGCGGGCAGCCCGGCCAGGCTGCCGCGGGGGGTGGTGGGGGCCCGCCTCACGGAGCCTCTCTCGTCTCGGCCGAGGTTCAGAGGCTTGTTCATGACGAGTGGTCTCGTACTCCCCTCACGGAGCACCTCGTCTCGGCCGAGGTTCAGAGGCTTGTTCATGACAAGTGGTCTCGTACGCCTTCGAGCAGAGTGGACCACCGTCGAAGCCTCGGTACTCGTGCGACCCTTGGTAATGGGCGCCGTGTGGGCATCGCCAGGGCGAGGTTCGTGTCTACTCGGGCTCAGGCTCGGCGACTGCAGCTTCTGAGGGAGGCTCGTGCGGGCATGGCATTGGTTCAGAGCGTGGGGGCCTCTGCTTCAGCCTTGTGGGGCAGCAGCGTCTCGGGTGTGCCCCCTTCTGCTGTGCCTGGCCTGCGCCTCGCCGCGGCGCACGGCGCTGGCCGCCACCTCGAGGTGGCCGCTCTCGGGATCGGGTTGGCGCTTTTTCGAGCTCGAGGCCATGTGTGACCTTCTGGTGGCCCACTCTGGGCTCGTGACCTGTCAGTGGGCCACGATCGTGTGCAGAATGGTCGGCGAAGGCATGGGAGCCACCATCAGTTGGAAGGGGAGGAGGAGGAGGAGAAGGAGCAGGAGGAGGAGGAGGAGGAGTGCGAAGGGAGGAGGAGGAGGAGAGTTGGAGGAGGAGGAGGAGGAGGAGGAGGAGGAGGAGGAGGAGGAGAGGAGGAGGAGGAGGGAGGAGGAGGAGGAGGAGGAGGAGGAGGAGTGAGAAGGGAGGAGGAGGAGGAGGAGGAGGAGAAGGAGGAGGGGGAGGAGGAGGAGGAGGGGGGAGGCGGCCCCAAAACCGCGTACAGGAGGTCACTCATCCGAAGTGTCGCTCTTCCGTGCGGCGCTGGCCCATGGCGGAGCCAGAGGCCAACAGTGCACTCACTGGCATGGTCCACCCCCTCCTCCTCCTTCGAGCCTGCTCCACCCCGCTCCGATGGAGATTCGAGAGCTCGTCAGGGTTGCAGCGATCAGGCCCTCCGATCGTCAGGCCTTGGGCCAGGACGGTGCTCGGAATGATGCCGTGGGGCTCAAGCCCCCATGTGCTGCTTATTTTCTGACAAGGATTCCCGGGACTTTGAAGAGGAGAAGGAACACCTCGGTCTGGACGGCCCACCACCAGCGTGCTTTCAGGAGCTTGATGCCCCAGGCCAGAGTTTTTCAGGTGCTGCCTTGCTGAGCCAGGCGCCCTACGGCATTCCCAGTACAGGTGCGAGGCCTGCGCAGAC